TTTCCAAATTTTCCTCGACGGTTCGCTTGACCCTGAGCGGCACAGTTCTTCGAAATGGTCCTTTGCTAGTTGTGAGGACACTTGCACCAAATATGCTTGCGTAGTTTATTACGCTTAATGCCCATCCAAAGCCAAAAAATGATGGAGGGTTGGAGGTCGTTCAGAGGTCGAAGAGGGGGAAATATACCTAGATAGAAAGCAGGGTGCGGGACGATGCGCGTCTTGCAGCGAAGAGTATCCCCCAGCGGCCCAGTAGGGCCATTCCTGCGCCGCGGCACGCCCACCCTCTGGCCGTCTGAGCCTCTAGCCTTCGGCAGAGAGAGAGCGGAAGCGTTAAAAAGGCTGCACCGATGAGATTCGCACCAATGCGGAAATCAAAGGTCATAGAAAAGACCCCAAATTTTGCTTTCCGTGCCATTTTATGGTTCATTTCTGTTCCACTGACTACCTCTAGCTTGATTTCTCATGGTGCTTCCATCTTGAACTCCGCCTTTCAGCGCTTCTGAATGAACTTCTTGTTTTCAGAATGTTGATCGATCGCAGTATAGCTGGAACATTTCCAGACTTACCACCCCTAGAACCGTTAACCCGATTCATAAGTTCTTCACCAAAAGATGTAGGTCGTGCTCTCTTCATAAAAACTCTTCAATTTTTAGAAATGTACAAATTGTCTACTGATGATGTAAAATATCAAATCGAGGTGTATGCAACTATAGAAACTGTTTCAGAAACCAACAAGAAAAGGAAGTAAGAATATTGTGGAGGATGAGAAGCAGAAAGGAAGGTGAGAAATCCAGTGAATTCGTTTAGAAATAGTCAAAATAAAAAATGCAAGTGGCGAAATCTAGCGCCAAATTTTGTACTGCACTCCAAATTTTGCATGTTGAACTTAATTTGATATATTTGATCTAATTATGTTTTTGAGAACTTTAATTTGAGTCATTTTTTGTCGGCCTTGCAATCTGACTATGTGGAAAGACAAAGCCGTTGAACTTGTTGGGCGAACAAATAAATAATTTTCAATAAACAAAAAAATATATTCAGGAAAGCTAACCGACTCGTTGAATTCCCTATATCTTCACGTCTAGCTGCAGCTGAATCTGAGGGAATGACAGTACTGCCACCTCTTCCACTAAGTGCTCATCCGACAAGAGAAGAACTTCGACGGCACAAACAATTCAGAAGTGCGTTGACTCGTACAATTAGACGACACCGACAACTCGTGTAGCGATGTAATCTGTGTACTGTATAAATTATCCACTGAAAATACATTTTAAGTGGCTTTCTTTCAGCACTGTGGTGTTGTTTTCTATTTTTCAGCCCGTACTGCGAAGCAGTGCGTTGTGAATGACTCCGTTACACCCACCCTACTGGATTTCTGCGTCATGTGAAGCCAAAAGGCAGGCTACAAAGTATTTGTCCCCTTATAGTGAGGACCCGACTTCCATGGGAGGGGGCGGAAGGAATAGTTGGAAAAAGTCAAGGATTCCTTCACAGCAAAATTCTAGCAAAGCTCTACAGGAAATAAAATTCAAATTTGAAACTCTGCGCATTTCTCCAGTTTTGTAAAAACTTAAGGCCTAGGGAAGTCTAGAAAAGTCGCCGAACAAGCTTGAAATGCCAACCATTTCTTGTCTACTGAGCATTTTGCTATGGAAAGTCACCCCTGATTTCAAGGACCAACAAAATCTGGGTACCCCCAGGAGGCCCGTCGCGCGGCAAGAAGGCAGAGTCGGCGGACGAGTTGCAGCGCGTGGTGTGCGATGTAGGACGTGCAGTGGGACACTCTTTAACTTGACGCGAAATCCCTATAGTACGCGCGCGACTCGTCCGCTGACTTTGCCTTCTTGCCGCGCGACGGGCCTCCTGGGGGGTACCCACAAAATTTACACTGACGGTGCTACATTTCGTATAAGAATTACTAGTGGTTTTTTGATCTAGTTGAAAACTATATTCTAGATGAGGTTTACAAAAATAAGCTTCGGACAATTCCCTTCCAGGTGCTATAAATTATAGGTGGATACAGGGTGGCTAGTAAATATTGACCATTGTTTATTTACAATTTTTCTATATAACTATTACACCTTGAGAAGTTTACTTTCGTATACAATAAAAAATAGCTATTCATTGCTAAATAAGGTGCTCTAATTGGCCTCCTTCAGCAGCGATACAGGCTTCAAATCTCTTCACAACTGACATCACCGTAGGCTGCAAGAAGCTAACGTCGACCTGACGCGAGAAGATCTTCACACTGAAAGTGGCGCACCGTTCTCAAAGCGACAGGCTCGGCTAGCAGACATTCGCTCGACGTTGTACGCTCACAAGGAGCCGATTTCCGAAATCTGTCGTGGTCTGAGCAGGAATTACTTCTGAAGAAAAGACACCGCTTGTATTTGTGGATAAATCCGTGAAGATCAACACCCAGGTCTACAAGAAACAATTTTTCGTGAGCTGCTACTTACGTGAACTGTTTCGACCTTCAAGCGAATCTCACTGGCATTTTAGCAAGACTGGGCGCTGCACATGCCGCAAAATGTTTACGATGCGGAGTGTTTTGGTGAACGTTAATTTCCCAGGTTTACTGCGTCATGAGATGTTTTGGCCCCCAACTTGCCCGATTTTGAAAGCCAATGGACTGCGGTTATGGAGCTTCTCGGCAGCAGATGACGCCTTCAGAACAACATCGAAATTTGGACTCCTTGAACGCTTCCTCTGAAGAAGGCAGGAACTCGACATCAGGCTGTTTGCGGCCCACGGTCATGTCAGTTAAAGCAACAGTCCAGGCAGGGTTTCAACTACTTGGTCATTAGGCGGTCAAAACATGCCCCAGCCCAACTAAAGTTTATAGGAAATGTCTTTAAGTTCAAAACCTACCTCTAAAATGCGCTGGAAGGGGTCGAAGTCCTCTTGGAGGGGGCGGATCACCCATACCGAGGCGGATCGCTCAACATACGCTGTGCAGAGCGCCGTGCTCGACTAGCGGTCGTTGCGGGACCGCCGCGCTGTATGAGGTCGATTCCATAAGAACGCAATTGAAGCGCTTCAATTTCGATTGCTGGCAAATAGTTATGTATTTGCAAGCATGCATGGCTATTTGCCAGCAGTTGCAATTGGAGCGCATGTACTACGGGCAGGTTCGGACAACTCGTCCAACACACGTCTCCCTAAACGGCAGGGGGAGTCCCTGTCTAAGCCCCTGCCCGACGTTTTTTTCTACTTTTTCTTTCTCCATTGACCAACTTCTCACCTGCAACGTCATTATAGGTGGTCCTTACCCGCGAATTCGTTCCTGGATTGTTGCTTTAAGAAGAGACTTAACCTTTACATCAGCTTGCCAAAAAGAGGCTATTTCCAGCACCTTCTTCAGTAACGTTTTTATCTTTTATTGATATAACAATAAAATCTAAAGATGCAATAGCTTTTCTTTTTAAAACAATGCGCCAATATTTTGTAGCCACCCTGTAAAGAGATCTGTCGTTGGAGTCCATTCAACGCTCGCCGACCGGGGAAGTCGTTTACTGTCAGGACGTGGAGCCAGGATCGGTCCTATCGTTGGGACTTTTTGCAAAATTTTTAGTTTTCACGACCCCCCTACTTCACGACAGTTTTCATACGACCCCCTCTCCACAATTTGTTTTTCCCTCGAAAAATACCGTCGAGCGGGAGGTGGGAGAGGGATATAGCTACACAAGAAACCGCGAAAAATCCCCCTATTTCCCTTTACTTTTCCTTCAATTTCCCTCTATTTTACCTGTTTTTACCTATATTTTCGCTACAACATTTTCTAGGGGCAAATTGTCTCCCGCACGCTCGCACCTCATCACATGTTATTTCGTGCTACGACCCCCCCCCCACCACAAACCGTTGGTACTTGTGTCCTGCGTGGAGCGCTTATTTAAAACGGAGATCTGTTGCTCGGAGAATTCGCTGCTGACGAAAAAAACATGTCAAAAGAGAAATTTATCCATTTTTTAAAAGATCGATATTTTTGTCACAATACGATATCAACCTATGACAATTCATAGGTTGAGGTGACATGACACGTTGTGGACTATTACGATGGCATAAAATGAGACATGTCATTATAATAGTCCACAAGGTGTTACCAGCGATGCGACATATTTAGCTCTTTTGAAGTCAAGTACTGTAGCAGTTGCGTGAGTTGGAGATCCCGTTTTCGAGTTTCGAGTGATCAGTCAGTTTCACGCAAAGGTGATGTTTATGTGCATAAATCAGATGGTAATCGGGTGCGCTAGATATGGCGAATAAGTCGTCTAGGACAACACCCCCCCCCCTATTCTTCCACCCCCCGCCCCCTCCCACTCAACTCCAATAACTTTCTGCCAGGACAGCTTTGAAGCATGCGATTGGGCATCGTGGTGAAGATGACAGACTCATACGCGTTACGGGGTTTCTTTCGAACGGCATCGCCCAACACTTGTAGCTGAGAAAGTACACCTGGGCCAGGGTGGGTAACGGTTGAGAAATCCTCGACCATGGCTCTGTTCTTTGCGAGAGTAGTGCCGAGAGTGAACATACGCGCGGAGAGCACAGACGGCTCGCGCATGGCGAGTGTGAATGTCCGCGCGAGAGAACGTCTTTGATCAGGCAAAAATCCTCGACGTGCCGTTGAGGAATCTTCAACCGATATCCACCCTGTGATAGAGCGCTAGCGTTGAGGGCAGCGCCGATGAGACTCGCATCAGTGCTGAAACAATGTGCAGTGATAGGTACCATTTCTGATCTCTCGGGCTTTTTTTTGTTTTTTTTTTTGCATCACTGACCACCTCTCCTTGATTTTTGATGAACTGCCTTCTCATCATAATTCCGCTTTGATGTGGACGAACCAGTGAATGAGAGAATATTGACTTCCACTTTACAATTCACACGATAACTGGCTTTTGACACGAACATCGCAATTATTCTTGTAACAACTATTTCAATTATATTGCAAGTGCATCACTGAACGCTCGATATGAGAAATTTGCAATTGGATTTTTTCAAATGAATCTTCCAATCCTAATTAAGCTTCTGATCCGATCCTTGTCTATTCGATCGTATAGGGTCGCCAGTTTCTTGTCAATCTTCTCTCTGCTTTCGATGAGATTTGTATCGTAGTTCCATGTGGTGTTCCTAAAGCTCATAATTGTCATCAATGAACAGGAGAAAGCTGAAAATTCAAAGGCAATTACGATGAGAAGGCAGATCATTCGAAATATCGGTAGAGAGGTTCAGCGATTAGTGATAAAAAAAAAAACAAAAAAAAACGGCCAAGAACTCGAGAAATGGGACCTCTCAATTTTGGCTATCTACTTTTCCGCACTAGAGCGACCCTTACCGGTGGTGACGTCACCAATGCGAGAGCTCTATTCTGCGTCTCTGCTAAGGCCGTCGAGTCCGCGGCTGGAGTCTGATGCAGGGTCAACCCTGCGTTGCGCAAAGAACAACGAGGGGGTCGTATTCAGCCGACCGAAAAGGGAGGGGGTCCCACAAACGGGCTGCAAGACGGCTTGAAAAGTGCAGTGTCCGGGAGTGCACTTTCAGCCTCTAATGTTCTCCAGGAGCTCTGCACGCTGTCGGAGAGTCACACAGACATGAGCTCCATGGGAGCATTAAAGCATGCAGAGCACTATAAGTCTCACCATCAGCTTATTATCCTTAATCGACGCTATCCGGACGGCGCTTTTGCTCCGCGGCATAGATCAAGAGTACAATAGACAATAGCCAAAAACTTTGTTACAGTGTAGTGCAAAAACATGGTCTTCTTGATCCCGGAGAACAAAGTGTAGAGCAGTTCATGGGAAAGTGAAACAAGAGTGCCATATAACAGCACAATACAACTCAATCAGGATACTAACACCTTCTTCAGGAAAACAGAAGACTTTCAAATGCGAGTGCGAACTCTGCCCACAGATAGGTGCACGGCGTATACCCGAGCAGGCGTTTTCCCAAAAAAACGCCTCTGTCAGCGGCCGTAAGCAGACAAACTTTCTGAAGAGAGTTTTGATGCTTTCAAATAAAATCTAAGCGAAACAAAGTGTAGCGAATTTGCTGAATTGAGTTCTAGAGACGCCGTAGGAAAATTGAGGCAGAAGAAGGAATTTCAGGGAAATTTCACAGTTGTTATGAAGTACTCTTCGAGTGGATTCCAACAATCTTTACCGCTTCTCATCACATTAATTTCAAAGGAAGTTATGGGCCTTTAAAGACTGCATAGTCGCGGTCCAGGAAAAAGGCTTGAAAAAAATCAAGGTGGAATTGACGGAACAACGGGACTATTTTTTGAGCGAGTGATTATTTCAAGAAGTTTTAGCACTTATTCGAAAGCTCTAATCCTCTAGTTTCTAATTAGCCTTAGACATCTGCAAAATGTTGAGTATGAAGAAAGTTATTAACGTTTGAATGTCGAAAACTCGCGCCTTCTCAAAAATCGGACCCCAAACCACCCAAGAACGGAACAACGGGACTATTTTTTGAAAAAATGATCGCTGGAAAATTTTCAGGTGCTTGTTCGAAAGCTCTAATCTTCTAGTTTCTAATTAGCCTTAGACATTTGCAAAAAGTTGATTATGAAGAAAGTTATGAATGTTTGAATGTCAAAAACTCGCGTGTGCACAGAAAACGGAACAACGGGACGATTTTTTGAAATACTTGAACATCCACAACATTTCAAATACTCCTCAGGAAGAAAACTATTTATATTTTCAAAATTTTGGTGTCCGATTTCATGAAACAGCTTCTGAAAGAAAATATAACCTTCTGAATGGAGGGGTTTGGATTGCAATGTAATTGCTACAAGGTTTAGTTTTTTCAGATTATAAGGTAAGGAAAGTTGAGAGATCGAAAAAATCCTGGTGGGTTTCTGAAAGTAGAAATCTTTACGATTAAAATGATGTATTGGTTTACGCAAAAATTTGAAAATTCCTTCTATTTAATGAATAAAACTTCATTTGCCTCGATTCCTCCTCTGAGCGAGACAGAGCGCGCGGATTGACCACGGTCCACCACTTCTCCATGTTGGTGACTGCCATCATTGATGAGCATTGATGAGCATTAAATTATGTGAAAGACATGATAGTTAATATGGGGGGGGGTCGTACCGATACCCCCGAAAAGGAAGGGGGTCGTAAAAATTTGGGAATTTGCGCAACGCAGGGTTGACCCTGGTCTGATGACGAGAGGTAAGCAAACCAGCCCTTTTGGCGTTTCTGGCTGGGACCGTATGCTGAATGTTGGGGAGGGGATGGGGTCCCCAACGGTCGACGGACTACTTCAACTCGGTTGGTACGGTAGGAGAGTACTGACGCAAGTGGTGCAGCTGGTCCAGCAGCTCCGCCAAAGGGCTGGTTTGCTCACCCCAGGACTAAGCCTTGGAGAGGGACGGACCCGTCCTCCTCTCTTTAAGGCTTAGTCCTGAGGTAAGCATCCAAATTGTGGCGGTTCTAAGGACCGAGTTGAAGTAGTCCGTCGACCGTCGGGGACCCCATCCCCTCCCCAACATTCAGCATACGGCCCAGCAGAAACGCCAAAAGGGCTGGTTTGCTTACTTCTGATGACGAGGCTTAGCCCCTCGGTGGGGGGGGGCAGCAGCGCGGATACGGCCCGCTAGGTAGTTAAGGGCATATCCTTCTGTAAAACGCGCATTGTCCCGCGTACTTAGGGAACTGTCCGAACTTCAACTAAGCACTTCCCCTTCTTCGATCTCCCATTTATTGTGACACCCGCCTTCAAACTCCTTCAAAACCGCCTCGAAAAAATGTCTAAAATTCTAATATTTCACATTTTAGTGTTTTTTACTGCGTTAATAATGTATCAGATGTCATTTACGGCGCGAATTATCGATTGTTTGTTGGGCATGTTTTGAGACCACTTTGCCCGTTGAGCACGACGAAGCTCATGAGTGCACGTTATCGACGTGAGAGCCCTACTGTTGCTCTGCTAAAAAGGCTCGATTCTGAGGCATGGGGACCACCACTTGAGGCAGTCACTTGAGGCGGAAGGGGAGCAGCGGCGAGTATGGGTTTAGAAGGAACATGAAAACTTCTCCTTCTTTATCATCCAATTTATTGTACTACCTGCCTTTTGATTGGCAATCGGTCTTGATCTCATGAGGTTCTAAAGATCTTCTGTATTTTTTACCATGGGTAGCCACTGGTAGCTTCCTGAGGGTAATATGTACTCTGTTTTGAGAGCCAGATGCTCGTCGAGTGCAGACAACACAACACAAGTGACGACAGCCCCCAGAAAATGTAAATTTTCCAGCCTATGAAATGATTAGTTGATTGGTGTTTTGTATCAGTTGCCATTCATTACAGCAATCATTACCAACTACATATCAACTACCACTATTCACCCGTTAGTCAGGAGGTTAACGTCACTTGTAGTGTGTGGTCTGCGCTTGACGTGCACTTGGTTCTCGGAAGCTGAGGATAAATCAAGTGGCAAAAGTTTGAGGCTCCAAAAAAGGAAGGTGAAGGGCGAATTGGCTAAGCTTGATATAATGATGTTGTAGTGCACTTTAGCATGTTCTAAGAAGTAACACAAGTTAAGCTAACTCACCCGGGTGTACAGAGGTGAAGGTGTATTTGTCCTTTGAATGGAAGAAACCATTCACCTTTCGACGGTCCGTGTAACCTTGAAAACATACGACACTGTCCTTTGCTCAATTTCTGTCTAGTTCGGATAGTAAGAATAACAGTACTAATGGAACTCACGTCAAAGGCAAATCCTTCTGGTTGTACCTTCGTAACTGGATAATCTTCCAGTTGTGTAGCATGAAATCCCTATCGGGTGACCACTTGCTGTTTGTCATCCAGTTGTCCCTTACCCAAGCGGTGCCCTGTGTTAACAAAGAAGCAATCAGTCTGGGTGTTGTTCGAAAGGTAGAGCTTTATGGGCTGCATTTGCTACGCCAATGAAGCTGCTGATGTAAAGCTGTGTACTCGAAACCTACCGATGGCCTCACACCAGGGAACCCCTTCGCTCCTCTGATGAGGAAAAATCAAGGAGAAGGAATAAAACAAGCTACGGTAAAAGGATAAAAGGATAAAGCATTTGCCGTTGATCAATCCCTTTTTGGGATGCGGCACGCATTCTACTTCCATTTGTACATTCGTAGTGGCGTTTGAATGCGATGTGGCCTATACAATGACTTGCGGGGGCCAGCCGATGTACAAGTCAGTGTTTTTATCCTCCCAGACAAGTCTGGTACCAATTAACCGACCCCGGAGGGATGGAAGGCTTGGTTGGCCCGGGCGACTCACGACCCAGGATTTGATCCCCGGACCGCTCGCGTGGTAAGCGCGCCACTTGTCCACTACACCACTTCCGCCCTCAGGTGACTACGGTACTTAACATTATGGTGAATTCTGGAACCGTCTATAGAGCGTACACAAACTTCATAATTAATCAGTCGCTTATGTGTCTGCTACCTATTAAGGAAGGACACAAGCATATATTGAGCAGCATTGAAATGAAGAGAACCGCGGTTCACCGTGGGCATGGACTGCCATCATCACGGTAAAAAGCAAGGCTAGAACGGTGCTCTGGTAGTGCGGTAATCGGTAGCACCCAGTAGACAAGTAGGGTGGGTTCGATGCTTGTTTGAGGCGCGGAGTGTTTCGTCCATAGCTTAGCACCTTGTGATATCTCACTTCTCCTCTTTCATGCCCCTCTGACTACTCCTATGAATGCAGATGGAGGAAAAAAAGAGTAGGAGAGATCTTTCAGGATGGTTTTAATGGCGCTTGAAGGTGTATTCCTCGATAAGGTCGACGGGGCGAAGTGGCATGGCCCTTCTCGCGGCGCTATCGGCGCGGCACGCCCACCGACTGGCTAACCACTCGCCGCAGTCTCTAGCCGTTTAGCAGAGAGAGCGTTAGCGTTGAAGAGGGCAGCACGATGAGAGTCGCATCAATGCGGAAATCAACGGGCAAGGAAGGGTCCCATTTCTCGGGTTCTGGGCCGTTTCTCATGGTTTTTCTTCATCCGGTACCACTGACCACCTCTAACTTTATTCTAATGGGCTGACCCCTATCTGTAAATTCTACCTTCAAAATTACACTCCCGCATTTGATACCAATCCTTGCAGGCACTTTTACGCAGCTATCAGACTATTTTCCACTATTGCTACCTAGAGAAATTTACTTACCTTCTTGTAGATTTTTATTTTCCCCATATTTGTGTTCAGTCCTATCATCGAGCGAACACATGCTTCGAATGTGAATAGATCTTCGTAGCTCTTCAAATTGTAATAAATTTTGAGACAAAATGCCAGCTCGCTCTTTCTTTCCTTGCCAAACATCACCTCAGCAAGATATGCCTAAAAATGTCCTAATGATATAACCGATTCAACGACCTGTATTTCTTTGACTACCAGTAGACATACATATGTATGCAGTGTGTCATAAAATCACAGGTTCATTTCTCTGAAATAAATAAATAATTCCTGTCCAGATTTCTACCATCAATACTTTAGTAGAAGTTTGTGATATTTTGTGAGTAGATTTGGAAATCAAAGCAAATACAGATTTTTCCAGATTTTTCTACAAAACATGACGTCCCAGTAGTATGGGTTCATTCGAGCATTCGAAAAAAAATCAAAACTATATATTTAGCAAAATTAGCAACGTCAATAATAATTGCAACCCCAACATTCCCTCTCCTTTCGATTGTCTCATTTGTTCGCCTGCTCGCTTTCAGGACAATTCAGGAGATTGTTTCGATCGGTACCCACTTTCGAGTGTATTGAATGGGGTTTTTTGATAGTCGACATTGTGTAACTAAATGTCTCTAGCAAGAATGCCCCATGGTTTTCTTTTGTTTTTTTTTGAATTGGCATGTGGCCAGATAGAGACAGGAACGTCTTTCTCAAAGCGACGCCTCTGCCGAGGCAATCGTATGATTGGGAGCTTTATCTTGCCAGAATGTGAAGCGCACGAATGGGTGGAGTTCATGAGATTCCACAGGAGCTCACGAGATCTGTGTCGATGCGATTCGACTCTTGCAAAAGCCAGAGAAGATGCCTAAACCATGAGACTACCCCGCTGGGACGTCGCTCCTTTCTCGAATCACGCTCAAAATAAGCTACGCACGCAAGACAGAAGAACAAAGTGATTAATGCTTTTGGGACATATTTTTGAAAAAAAAATCAGGTAAAAGCCTAGACTCCTTTTACACTCAGCCCTACTCTAACTAGAGCGGTGGCCAAAAAAAATAGACACTTGACTCCACATTTCAGACAGCATTAATCACACTTTGCTAAATCAAATCGACTGCCCCAACTCAGTATTGAAGAGCACATTCTAATCTATCTAAACCTTACATGACAGCCTTCTACACCGACGACATCAGAAGATTTTCCCACGGAAACATGGTTCACGGTACGAGCTCAACGAGGTCGTCGAGGTACCATAGACCATTACGACGTCCCTGAAACGCTGGTCAAAAGCGGTTTTGCATAGTCACAGCTAGTGTCTCTGGAAGCTATTCACAGTTAATCCATTGAAGAAATTATGTAGCAGCTTCAGGCCGGAGCGATTACGGTAAGCCTCGTTGAGCTCGACGGTGGCGGCAGATGACGTCATATTCTGAAGACGGCGGGGGCAGTGAAGGAGGGCCTGCTTCTGTTTACGGGGGAACACCTAAGGAATATTCGCCGTAAAACTTTCATTAACATCGGCACCCTGTGCGACGAAAAGTTCGATGATGTGCGCCATGGGCAAAGTGTCTCTTTTTTTGGCCACCCCTGTATATTTATTTACACAGTTCCCATATCCGCTGCTGAAAATTTGAAGAAAAATTGCTTACTTCTTCAAGAGATATCGAAGGAAGATGGGGTGAGGCTACACTTCTGGGACACACTGTACAGTGCGTTTCATAACTATAAGGTTACCCCTAAATATCGCATTTCCAGAAACCAGCCATTTGGAAATTTTTTGACTGACACGAGCAGGTTCCTCGTCAAAAATGACTTCCGCATACAAATTTGGCTGCAGCAGCTTCCACCCTTAATTTTTATGAATATTTTTTTTGGTTTTTGCACCGTTTCATAATATAAGGTCACTTTGAAAAAATGAACACTTGACTGCGGAAATCGAAGAACTTCGTTTTCCAATGGACCTGTAAAGGTGAGTATTTATTGCATGTCCATCTCCGAACCACATAATCGAAATGGCTCGTGGTCGTCTACCATCTTCCGAAGAAAAGGCGCAAATTCGAGCTCTTCACAATGCTGAGCTGAGTATGAGAGCCATTGCGGAGCAAATCGGAGGATGCCCCTATTCGTTTCAAGGATATTTGATGAGCCTCGATATCTCCAGATGTCCTGCGAGTATTGGTCGCCGACGTAAGATCACTGTTAATGAAGAGCGAAGAGTTCTGAGAGCGGTTTCGAACAGTGCCTCCTCCTTAAATCAAATTCGCTCGGAATTACGCCCTCGTTTCGAAAACTACAATCTGGAGAGCAGTGAGCAGAAGCGACAACATCATTGGACAAACAATGATGAAGTCTCGGAGGCTCACAGATGGCCACAAAGAGGGACGACTTCAATTCGCCAAGTCAAAACTAGTGAGAGATTGGACCAAGGTAAGCCCTCACTACAATTTCACCAAACAGCTAATCAAATCCATTCAGGTTGTGTCCTCGGACGAAAAGGAATTTAACCTGGACGGTCAACACGGATACAAGTGCTGCTGGCGTGAGTTGCAGAAGGAGCCGATCTACTTCAGCCGTCGCAATTTCGGTGGAGGAAGTGTGATGGTCAGGGGTGCTTTCTGCAACGATGCCACGTTAGAGCTTGCCTTCGGAACCTGCAGGATGGATTCCATGGGTTACCAAGAAGTCTTGCAGCGGCACCTGGTGCATTTTTTGAGCCGGCGTCCTCCCCTTAGCCGATTCCCACTTCGGAGCTGTTCAGCATCTAGTCAAGAACGTAGGAAGTGTGACTGAACAAAAAGCCGCTAGGGAGCTGAAGTGGGCGTGGTCGGAATCGGCCGAGGGGATTGCAGTCGTTTCCGACCACGCCCACCCTGCTGGGACTGTTGCTTTAAGCACCTTATTTTATGTACGCCACAGAGACTATTCGATGCCGCACTGAGGAGCCATAGATTATTACTTTTTTTACGTGCCATTAATTTCAATGAATTTTTCATTTTCTTAAAGGAATCTTGCGCGGAAAATTCTTGCACTCTTTCCTAACATGAATATGTCAGTTGTGATCACTGGAAATAGCACACAAAGTTTCACGCATGAAGATTCGGTTTCTGAAGAGAAACAAACGTACAAAAACTACACGTTATGGACCATCGAAGGACCAGGAGGCAGAGCCAGGCGAGGCATGGAAAGAAGACGGCGTTTGGCCGGCTACGTACCAGGCGACGCAATGAGAGAATCGGGTTAAAGCGCGCGATTTCGGAGAGATGGAAGACAATCGACATCGATGGAATAGGATGGTATGTCCGTCGGGTTCGCACGACTGTGGTCGGGGCACCGCGCGCTTGGGCACTGCTGTGCAGCAGGCGCCGTGGCGTTGCATGCACCGACTATAGGGGCATGCTCCGCCTCCGGTCCCGCCTCCAGCCGGGACTACTTAAGCGAGCCGCCTCTGCCAGTCGGCGCACTTCGCTCCCTCCGGGAGGAGCGTTGTGCCGGGCAACGCTAGGATGCTGGACGGCTCGGAGTGCCACTGGCACTCGGCAGTATGGTCCGGCATACTGTCCCGTCCTGTCGGAGCGCTGGCAAGCCAGCGTCCGCTACACCGGATGGACGCTGCCGGCTGCAGGCGCCAGCAGTGCGCCACTTACCGCCGACGACCCGATGGATGGACGACGCGATGGCTTGGTACTCCAAGCCCGGCAGAGGATAAGAAGAGTAGGTCGTCAACTTGTTGCCGCCAATATTCCGCCAATAAATGTAAGTATGTTTAATTGTAGTTGTTGTAGTTGGGTTGTAGTTTGGGGAGCGCCAGGGCAGGGGCCCGACTAAGGCGCAATAGGCTTTTTCTTGTGCTGTTATGTTGTGGGGTTGCTAGCCGGGGCAAGGGAGCCCTCGGCCCTTGGGCTGGGAAAGCCCGGGCCGTCGGTGGGCCTTGCCCCCGCGGGTTACCGCTTACCGCGACCCTTAAACCCCCTTCCCTGGGTTAGGAACCCGTGACGCCCCGGGGAGCGGAGGCCATGCTCGCCTGGAGGAGAAAACGCAGCGTGGTCACGGGAAGACCTCGATAGGATGACGTGCTGTCCTGCGAGAAGGCCGCGCGGAGCCCCGAACACCTCGTATGATCGTGTGTTTGGAGGCGGGGTTAGGAGGGGCGAACCGCTCGCCGACAGATAGAGTAGAAGTGTAAGATGTGAATGCAACAACGAAGCAGAAGGCCAGAAAGAGCTTCTAGTGAATGCACTCCAAGAACCAAGTTTGAGCATCCCCGTCGCCAGCATTCGTGAAAGACGTCCGTGGGCAATTCGAACGCGTAGCAGCCTTTTCGAGTTTTCGAATTTCTAATCAAAACGAAAGCAATACTTCAGTTCTTTTCACTATTATCGTGGATAATGAGTCTCAAGCCAGTGATTTATGGCTGAAATAGAATCATGATTTTTCCGCGCAAGATTCCTTTAAGCATCGAAACGATGTAAACAACCAAATATTTTTGCAAAAAGTTTGGGAAGCTCACAAGCTGCCAAACTATGTGGGGTGCTGACGGACGGTTCGTTGCACCCAGGAGACCTGCTGGGTTGTGTATTCAAAAAAATTCTCAGGTGACTGGTTGATCTGCATATATGAAATTCGGGGGTGACCTTATAATTATGAAACGCACTCTATACAGGAGTTGGAGGCAAGATGAATATGCGGTGAGGGATTTTCCTCAACGCACGTCGGAGCGATTTTCTGTCGCCTGAATTTTTACGTATGCGCGCGAATATTCACTCTCGCCCCCGTCTGTGCTCTCCGCGCGTACATTCACTATCGGCTCTACTCTCGCACAGCAGAGAGCGATGGACAAGGAATTCCTCGACCGTTATTTCACCCTGGTTAGGGGGCAATAAAAAAAACATCTTGTCGACACATTCAAATCGGCATTTAACACTTTGGCGTAACTCAACGAATGCGACCAACTTCGAAATTGAACAGCATATTCCTTTCATGAATAAATGACTTCATTTGTGGCCTTACTACGAGCACGACACTGCAGAAAAGGCTGAATAGAACCATGGAGTGCACACGGTCGATGCCTCAATGGGCGACGGCCGATACGGACCAACACCATGGTTTCTGGAGAGGTTTGGATTTCGAGGATTGCATAGTCAGAAGCTAGTCTCGAGAAGGATATATACACACCTATATCCCTACTATATATAATGCGCTAAGTCTGTCTGTCTGTCTGTCTGTCTGTCTGTCTGTCTGTCTGTCACGAAATTCCGTATTAAGCGGACAACAACCTACTGGGTCCAGGTCATGTTTGGGATGGGTGTACCATATCTCGAGAAGTAAAAAACATACATTACCTAAGCGGAGCCCCGCCCACAGTGGGCGTGGCGTGCGTCGAAATGAGTGGTACTGAGGACCATGATTTCAAATTCAGTCACAAAACAGCCTCGAGACCGGGACAAAAGTGGGCATAGGTGTGGGTTGGTAAGCCAGATTGAACTGAGGAGACCCACCCTCGGTGGGCGGGGCGTTCTCTAGAAAATGCACTTCATAGTCGTGCCTCCAGGGGAGAAATATTCATAACTCGGTTAAGAGGAAGCCTACAGACCAGAAACGAAATTAGTGCAGGGGAGCAATGCCTAAGGTATTTCCACCACGCATGATGTGAACGGAGGCCCGCCCACAATGGGCGGAGCGTGTCGTGAAGCGGACAGCATTTTCTCTCAAGAGCTCATAAATCGGCTCCGAGATGACTTAGAGACCGGAAAACAACGGATAGAGGTCAGGAGGGGAGGGGAAGCTAAATGTCAGGGATGGGCGTGGCTTACATCAAAGTGGGCGGAGTTTGCAATTAGGCTTATAACTCGGTTCCTAGGAGTCCCGGAGTCCGGGAAAAAAGCGTATGAGGGTTGGCAGAGGGAAAGGGGTCAACCGTTGTTGGCGGGCGGAGCATGCACCAAAGTGGGCGGGGTTTGCCACGGTACTTCATAACTCGGTTCCAATAAGTTCCAGAGATGGGAGAAAAGTAGAAAAAGGTTGGGAAGAGATGATAGCCGACTGATATCAGTGGGCGACCCACGCACCAAAGTGGGCGGGGTTTGCCACAAAGATACGTAGCTCGATTTCGTCCCCTACAAGACCTCATAATTCGGCTCCGAGACGACTTAGAGACCTGAAAAAAATACGCCAGAGGTGAAAGTAGGAGTAGAGGATCGAGATGTGACAACGCTCGGATGATCCCACATCCACCCCCGTAGGCACACCCCGGATGTGGCGTGCCCAGATGATTATGCGGACACAGTCATCAGGCCCGATAGCCCCCAATCCACCCAACTCTCGGCCCCCCGTCTCCCACAGTCACAGATTTTCTCAGCCGTCAGTCAGAAACGCTAAAATCAAGAGGACAAAGTAAAACTAGATTGGGGCGATTTTACCCGCGAGTTCCGTCTCAGGGCACGCGAATGCCTCGCGCCAAGCAAACATGCGTCACATACAGTCCGAAAGAGACCATGTAGGAGCTCTCGTGTGGCAGCGACCTTCTCGCGATGCAGTATTCTTCGAGCTCGACGGACCCGCGATGGACGATACGATCGCTATTCATGGACGCAAGTGATACGGTCGCGGCTACCTTTGATACTCAGATCCTTCAAACCGCTACTGCGTTCTCTCGCAATCCTTTTCTCCTCTCAAGGCTTGTCCCAGCGGCGTTCACCGCTCTCTACATCGTATCGTGCTTAGCATATCGCAGCAGCGCAACCATGAGGAAATAATCCATCGCTAGTACACTCGTTACTCTCCCATCTATATCGACATTCATTTCGCAATAACACTTCTCGTCGCACCCCCTCCGCCCGCGCCCATATGCGATTGCATTTGTCAAGCGGACGGCGACTCTTTGACAACGAAAAAATCAGCTTTTGAGGGCGGGGGACATGAGCCAACCCGCCTCTGCGCTCTCTCGCGAAATCCCTTCTCACCAGGCTTAACTAGGGAAGGATGAAGGGTCGAAGTGGCCATATGAAATGAGACAAGTATCATGGTATGTGGTTTCAGACGCTGATCTCGAATCTTCTTCCCAAATCTGCCAAACGATTCGCTGAACGGAGTCGGAGGTTTTTTGTTCCCTCACACAGTTTAACACAGTGAGAAATGAGGCCTCAGCAGCAGCGGCTTGTGAAGCAAGGAGCCTCTCTTTCGGGTGCTGGTGGCCTAGTGGTTAAGGTGGTGGGCTTGGGATTTCGGGGTCAGTGGTTCGGATCCGCCCTTGTTTTCCATTTTGCATTTTTGTGACTGACTGTTTGGCAGTAGTGAAACATGATTCCTTCATCATTGGTCAGCCCTACTTGCTTTTGAATGAGTCTGAGGTCGATAACTTCGAAATTTTTCCTAACTTGCATGCCACTACATAAGGTTAAGGCGCGCCAGTATACGGAGCGCGCGCTTCAGCCGTTTTTGAGTGAACGAATGTGAGATCTGTGTTCAAGCAGTCCAAATAACCCCTGGGCCGATTTCTAGAGAAATTCGAGATTTTGAATTAATCTCAAAAAGTGGGCGAGTCACTCATTGATGCTACATACATATCCATAGGCGGTAGTTCCAGGGTTGACCTATTTTGGACGACGGCGACCCTTTAAATTTGAAAATAATAAAATGTGAGGTGTTGAAATCATGCGAACAGAAAACCAGACACTGCTTTACACTCTTCAGAAACCAAAAAAAAACTTATATCGTCTCAAGGCTATGTAGGCTTCGATGATAGGCTGATGGATGAATGGATAGATACCCACCAGCCTTATTTCGAAATTTGGTCGAAATCTCAAATTTGGCTACAAACTTGTCCTAGGGGTATTTTAATCTCCGGAACACGAATATCACACTTGTTTGCTGCAAAAACGTCTGCCAAGAGTTCTGTGGGCTCCATGTGCAGTCTGTAGTGAGTACCGCAGAAACTGATTAGAAACTCTTCGCAAAGTCTTTGCACGGGTTAACTACAGGCAAGCATTGATCGAGTAAGGTAGCTGGGAGCCTTTTCATCATTTTGCAGCGAAGGCAAAAAAGAGAACCCGCCAGGGAATCGATCCTACGACGTCTCGCACGTGAACCCGGACTACTACCGCTGCACTACTTTCCTTCATAACTCCATTCGGAAAATCGTTTGGCAGATTTGGAAAGCAGATTCGAGATCAGCGTCCAAAAACGCATCCACCGGTGTAGGTCTCTTTACATATGGCCACTTCGACCAATCATCCATTCCTGGTAGTCACAGCCGCGGGCATCAGCTTCTCTAAATCGTGCCGTGCGTCTAGCCATCGCAGCACGGGACCATTGCAGAAAAAAATCAACAGCAGTCCGTTAAACCGGCAATGACGGAGGGCTTGCGTTCACTTATACAGGGACATTCGAATTTCGCAATAACACTTCGCCAACGACGGCACTCTTTGCAACGAAAAAATCCGCTGAAGTGCGACATGAGCGCAATATCTTTTTTCTGCACCCCCCTCCCCCTCCCCCGCTCCTGTGTATCATAACATATCCGACAAACTTTCGGAATAGAGGTACCTCTTTGAAGCCGATTTTCATATCAATAAAAAATTAATATTGAAGTTAGGGATAGATAGTTCTTGTTCGTGTAAGTTCAAATGTTGTAATGAACGATTGGAATTTTTTAGATTATGAAAAAAAAGCTCTAGTCCTAGTTCCGGCGCCCTACGTGTGCACGAATAGTTCGCTTCACTCCTGGTAGAATACTAATGCTTTAAATGAGACTCACATGCAATGCTCCATTGTCTGTGCCATGGTAATGCGCCGGCAGTCTGTACTCGTAATCAGCAAAGCCTTAATCAGTTACAATAGTTTTAGTAAAGGGCCAATTATTCACTCTAAAGACAAGAATTGCACTCATCCAGAACCTTTGAGGAACTTTTGTGTCCACGTTGTATTTTTCACAATGTACGAACCAGCTGCAACTTCCCAGTTATAGAAACGATCAAAGAAACTGATTTCGACATTGTCATCAACATACTCCTCGATTCTTCTAAATTAGTCACGTGATAACGATTAAATGCTTCTAGAAGCTCCCAAAAACTAGGGAAAGGTTACAAGAATTGTTCTGGCAGAATTCAGAATAAGTTTTTCACTTAGTTGATCAAGGACTTCCCACTCATACTTTATTTGATTAAAGATTCAATGATAGTGCTTGGAGTCGGAGAAAGGGAAATACACCCAATCGAAAGGGTAAGGGTGCGGTACTATTCACGTTCAGCAGAGGGTGTGCTCACAGCGACCTCAAGGTCGTACCCGCGCCGCTCCGGCCGCTGCACGCCCACCGATGGTGATCTGTCGCCGCCTAACTCTTTCTGCTCTAGGAAGAGCCGTAGTGCTGAAGGGGGCAGCACCGATGAAGCTCATTTCAATACGAAAACCAACGGGGAAAGACTGTGTCTCAATTCTCGTATTCTAGGCCGATTCTCGGTTTTTCTTTATCGTGCATCACCGATAAGCACTCCTTGACCTCAAATCAGCTGTGTTTTCATCGTGTACTCCGCCTTTGGCTGCAGTGTAACGGACAACTTTGCCTAAGCCACATATTAGGGTTACAAGTTATTAATCAAGTAACCCCCCACTTCCCGAAAATACACCTGCCAACCTCGGCTAGTGAGGCTGCATTGTGTCCGCCTCGCGCGTCTCCCCGTCGTCTCTACTTCTCTCACTTTTGCCCTTCCCTTAACGTCAAACCTGAAGGGCCAACGCTTAAAATGGCACATTTGACAAGTTTCTTACCGCTTCCTTTGACTTTTCTCTGAGGGCAGCAATCCCTATGGACGAAGAACGTTGTGATTTTAATGACGTTATTGAATCGTGGACCTAATCACTCAGTGCCCTGTGGTGTGATTGGGACCACCTGTTAACGTTTTTCCGCCAATGACGTTCAATGACGTCATCAAGGCCGCAACGCACTCCTGCCATCGTGATCACTGCCTTTAATGCCGAACCCCTTAACACCTCCACATACATTTTTCATCAGCGAAGTGTTGGCCCAGTAATGGCTCAAGAATCTTAAGGTGAGCATGGTACACCCCAATTGAACAACCTTATCCCTTCCTCCCTCACATGTTTCATTGGATAACAGCCGCGGAAATTTTTTAGGAACGAAGTCGTGACATCTTGGATAATCTCAAAAGGGTAGAACAAACTTTTTAGGGTTAACAACACCCATATCTGCATCGATATATAAGATTGTATGATAATTTGGTAAAACATGGGCAACCACGCAGTGACGCCGTAGATAGACCTGAACAAGTAGAAATAATAAATAGATAAATAAGGGTATAAAAACGTGACCCACATCTTTATGAGGACACTGTTTTGTATAGTCGGATGAGAAAATAATACGAAATTCGTAGCCTTGAGCTCGAGCGTAACAAGCCACAGACACTGGAACAATTGAAAAGATAAAACTGAACTATCAGAATTGCACAAATTTCTTCAGCTCAAAGGATGAATGGTCAGATAGCCCTGTGTGAGCTAGTTCTATAGGCTGATGGAGCAGCTGTTTTGAAGATTGTTTTTGCTCTTGGGTCTAAGATGGGTCTCGCTTTACCTTTCTTGACTCCCTTGATACCAAATGGTTGTGGAACACGGGAAAGGGTATGGTACCTCTAAATTAAGTTGCCTAACCCACTGGCAGACCCCACTGTCTCCAGAAGCGAGAGCAGATCGATGTCGTGCAAGAACAGCGATCAGAAAAAGAAAAGGGTCAAGCGTCACCGAGAAATCTTCAACAGGGGTCACGCTTGACCTGTTGATAGGGGTGTTGTAAGGGAGTATGCTCAAAGGCAGTGAACTCCGAGAATTCCTCGACCATGGCTCTGCACTGTGTGAGAATAGTGTCGAGAGTGAATGTACGCGCGGAGAGCACAGACGGCTCGCGCATGGCGAGAGTGAATGTCCGCGCGGGAGAGCGTGACTGAACAGGCAAAAATCCTCGACGAGCGTTGACGAATCCTCGACCGGTTTTCACCTTCACCCTGTGCTCAACAGTGGGAAAAATGTATTCTATGCTGAGGGTATGGAAGGACTTCAGGAAGACTTCGTGCCCCTCACAAGGCCCAAGCAGACCGCCCTGTTGTTTTTCTATCTTCGATTAGCGCCCACATGCTAAATTAATAGTCGACGATCGCCTAAACGAAATTGTGTGGTGCTTCCTCCAAAGCTGGCTGCAATTTTGAAGCAACATTACATTTAACATTTTTAATAACTACTTTAAAGTATTAATTAGTCAAAAGAAATCACATTTTAAGTGGTACGCACTCATTGCATGTTGGTAATACGATAAATGCGTATCCGGCTCGATAACGTCCACAATTGCAATCTTATCTTTTACCTGGAAAACTGATTTCATTTTATATGAATGTAATACAAGATTTGCATGCTGTATAAAGTGGATTGAAAATGTTCAATCTGCATTTTGACAACAACTCTGGGTTGACGCAAGCCTGAAAAATTATGTTGAATCATAAGTAATGTCCGCTTCAATGTCAGCATTCAAAAGTTTGTAACTTTCCACAAATTGCTTTTTCCAATACATACTATACTTGCCACAGCTGTCCACAACTTTCTTAAAGTTTTGCGAACCGCTTGGCTTGCAAGCTCATACGTCTCTTCTTGTAGATCGCAGATAGGCTAGTGAACTCAACCTCAGGTCGCTGATTTATCACTGGTTTTGTTACTGATATTTTTGACAGCTTGTTGGAAATTTTTAACTTCATGCTATTTTTAATTTAATGGCGTGTTCAAGCACAAATAAAAATAGCTATCTTCTACCTACTCAGAAGCGACTCCTACAGAGTTGTGAAGCTTCCGACCCAAGGAATTCTTGGAGGCTCGTTTGTGGTGTTCGCCATCATCGTGCCTCTCTCTTTTCAGACATTGAGCAAAAGCACGGAAAAGTGTTTATCAGTTCCTGTGAGATCATGTGAATATAACGGGTTGGGCAAACCAGTAAGGCAAGTTTCTGTACAGCCTTCTGACTTCGGTTTCCGACCTGTGTTCGGAAGTTGTCATCTGAGTTGTAATTTCAATTACACATAGCGAGATCCGCAACAAGTCTACGTAGTTGTAAGCTGTAGATGCCTGCGTTAGCGAAAATTTAATCGCTTGAGGTCTGTAGTGGGAGTGAGATACTGCAAAAAGCGGGGAGGAGGACCTTCTTTGCGTGAAAGTCATTTTTCAGAGCTCACTACGCTCTTATCTTGTCCAGTGACATCTTCCAATACGTCTGAAACGTCGGTTGTTGGAATACAAGATTTGTCAGACATTCACTCGTGCCCGTACTCACCCCCGTTGAATGTGTTTTTCCAGCCTTCACGATTTTTTGATAGCTTGAAGCTGAACATGGGAAACTTTACCATTGCCTGTTTGCTGCAAATCTACGGCTAGGTAAACATAGCAACGGCATGAAGCATCCGGAGCCCCAGTCGATTCGCTCGAAGCAACAGTCCCAGCAGGTTTTTACCTTCGACACTAATGGTGTGGAACGATGCGCTAGCCCTAGTCAAGAACATAAGAAGTGTGACTGAACAAAAAACTCACCTTGGAAAGCCGCTAGAAAGGGAGCTGAACGGCTTCGAAGTGGGCGTGGTTGGAAATCGGCTGCAATCCCCTCGGCCGATTTCCAACCACGCCCACTTCGAAGCCGTTCAGCTCCCTTTCTAGCGGCTTTCCAAGGTGAGTTTTTTGTTCAGTCACACTTCTTATGTTCTTGACTAGGGCTAGCGCATCGTTCCACACCATTAGTGTCGAAGGTAAAACCCTGCTGGGACTGTTGCTTTAACCTATAAAGTGTAGTTAATCCCTCGACGTTCCAGAAGTCAACCTCGACATGCTCCTTTATTCATCGTTTCTGGTACGTCAACGCTACACGTTCCTCTTGTAGTTTCGGAGGAAGGACTCAGTAAGTCAACAGTTGCGAACGTGCTGCGAAGCGTACGGTTTTAGCGCTTGTTGGAAATGAGTATAGATGGTCCGCTTTGGTTATATGAAAGACCGTGATAGCCCCTACACTCTTGTTGACGACGACACTACATACAAACAGGTTTTGGCGACAATGGCAAAAATTGAAAAAAAAACGGACAGCACTTATGACTCGATTCACTACTTTCATTGTACTGAATTATGACACTGCTTAGGTTCTCTACGGTCTCCGCTACAACTGGAACATATGTCAAATGTATGCGCTCTTTCCCGCTTGTTGAACTTCATGGCAGTTTTTTGCCGTTCAGACTACTCGATTTCCTATTCTCGTTTGCGTATTCTTGCTTAATAGTAACAACTCTCCGCTCGAATGTGAAGCGCTGCCCCAATCACAAGGACAGGGCTTCCTCTTAATTGTGGGGTGTCAAGGCAGGAGACTGGAACAGGAGCAGAAAAGCGATGAACGGTTTAGACTGGGTCTTGCGTGCCGCAACCAATGTCGCGCATTTTCAGCCCTTACCCCTACAAATATGTCAGAACGGTTACGTTTCGATAATGGGTCTACTTGCTCAAGACAGCCTTTAAATGCTCAATGGACTCTTGAACCATCATGGAATCGCGATCGAAAACAAAACTTCAAGAACAAAAATTGATACTATCTTCACAGCATTCTTTGTCCATGACAGTGACTCACCGTATCTGGTAATATATGTTCAAGCTGGGCGAATGGGATCGGTGGAAGATCGTTGAGAGCTGCCTGCAATATAATACTTAAATTGTGTTTCAAAAGTATAGGTTCACCCAATTTTTCTTCAATAGCTCCGGAAGAATTAAGCTTTTGATCCACATTTTTCCAGAAATACGTTATAGAGTTGTGCTGATACAATTCAAGTACACAAGAAAGGAACCAGGAATAATTTTCCGAATGGCGTCCCAAAAGTACGGGTTCACTTTGTCTTCTGTCTTTTGTTTTCACTAAGATAGCTTGTAAGGATAACTTGTTATCGTTTCCCTTTCTACGTACGTTCTGCAGTGCCATGCCAGGTGGAACACAATCAATGGAGTGAAAAAAAGGTTTTACGGTTCGATGAAAAAAGTAATTTCATATCAACTTGACCAGGAAATTCTGGCACAGTGTGGATTCCTCCGATGGGAATGCGGAATCGGAATATAGGGGAAGCGTGCTCAGAGTTGGAAACGTCGATCATAAGGCTGCCTTCAACTATGTGAAAGGTGCGCAACGACTAGGCAAAGAAGTGGCACCTGATGTGTTGATAGTCTCTACAGGTCGTATTTTCGAATCATCTCTCTAGCTTGTGAGAAGACAATTATTCATTAACCCATATGTACTAGGATGCCATGGATTCGTTTTGCTGGGGTCACATTGGCTGGGCGCACCAACAGCCGCAGCAAAGTTGAGGTGATTTGCAGTAATGTTCTCTTTACGTAATACAAACGCTACGATTTTTCTTTGTATGGAAAGAAACTTGATATGGACTGTGCCGATAGCGTAGCAAGCCCCAACCTTTTCGGCTCTGGCGGTGGCAATTGCCACCATCAAATTCAAATGTCTGCATTACCGCTGCAACAGCATATTTCTACTACCCACTGCTAGAGGTTACTTCAGACAACCTTCCCCTTCCTAATTATGCTTTGAACCCGCCATTTTATTGTGTGTTGCTGTTAGCATTACAAGTATTTGTGTACAAGTGCAACAATGAATCGGCGCTGGTCTCAGCAAGCCGCTAGGTAAGTGTCAATCATTTCTAAAATACTTGACATATATTCATTTCTTATCAAAAACGTTAGATATAATGTTGTGCAAGATCATAAACTTTTTCGACATAACTAAAATTTGGAGCTGGCCAATTTTCAAAGCTTCCTCGTTTCTTTGTTTGTGATCGAATAGCTTCCAAATTTCGCCATAATGATACCTATATGCTCACAAGTAATAAACAATAGCTAGAAGAGAAAATTTTTTTCTATGGAAAAAATTCAGGTTCGGAAAGGGTTAGGAGCGATTAACGAAGAGCCACGACTCTTGTGCATGATGACGGATTGCTGGCGATGATTAGCGTTATGGTTTGGTTCTTCTTCTGGCCTCTGTGAGAGGCTAGTGATGGTCATCACACATCTTATGAACTCCAGGACGTCCTCGTAAACGACTTATGTCAGTACCATACAAAGCGATTCACATTCATACGGCTTCATTTTTAGCTAGAGAAGGTTGCCCTCATGCGAGTGTCTCTACAATGGCGTGGTTTGAGAAGAGATTTTGGCCTGCTTTAACCAATGCTGAAGGAATGAGTCACGGAAAAAACAAAAAACCTATACTTATGAACCTATACTTTTGCAACACACTGTCTATTTGTTCCTATCAAGAAAATTGTGCACGATAACTTGTTTATCCTTTCCACACACAGATGTGTGACCACAGTTACAGTGTGAAAAATAAAATGAATGGAAATGCATCTTCCAAAAAGAAACTAACTCTGGAAACTCACATTTGAAGGCAATTTCAGACGCCTGGGTGCAACAAGGGGGGGGGGTTGTGATTAAGGCTCACAGGGATATTGCAATTATTGGGTTTACCCATAATTTCTGGCCGAATTTCAACACTTTGATTTATTCAAGTTTTATCTTTCCTAAAGAACAATTGATCAAAAACATAACCACCATCATAATCACTGATATGCACCCATTTGCTAGGGAACGAATGGATGCATTCCTCCCAGAACGAGAGAAGCTGTGAGATGAAAAGCTCGAAGAGGTCGTTTTTGGGGTGGTTGTATTTACTGACTTTTTCCTCTCCTAGCTGCTGCTTCAGGGAGCTGAGGAGGTGATAGTACGATGGAGCAATGTCAGGGCTATACGATAGATGTGGTGTCGTGGTCCAGCCAGTTTCCCTCGAAACGTGGCGAGTTATCTTTGCAATGTGATTTCGGGCGGTCCTCCGGAGAAAGGAGATTTTGAGACTTTTCCAACCGTTCTCCCGCACTGCTGCGGCCAACTTTGGAAGCTATTCCATGGTTACCTTCGCAATGCTTGTCTGCATAAAGTGAAATGGTTCTCAAAACGGGATACCCAGCGAATCCAACAAAACGGGGGTCACACCCTCTGATGAAACAGCTCGGGTTTTGGTTGATGTGCTGCGTCCAGGCTGCGAGGTAGCCACCGGGCGAGCTGCGTGTTGTTATCGTAAGGGACTCTTGACTCATCTGCACTATACGGTTGTAGAATGAAACTTTTGCAGATGGTCAGGTATGCTTCTCGGTCATGGTCAGTCCATGCATGCTGTTTCCATCGAGGCTTCATTCTGCTACAGTCCATTCCATTCAGGTGTCGACTCATGGAGCGTAGGCTGCGCCCAGATGTTTGCTACAGTTTCCTGCTAATAGCGTCCGGATGCACTTCCTATTCGTAGCGCAAGGGTCCTCATCGAAAGTGACTGGGGTCCATGATGAGGTCGAACTTTGCAGCTCCTATCGCCTTTGCCGATGCTATTGAGCCAATAGCTCAGTGCCCGATCAGTAGCAAAGACTGGGGCAAACGTAGCGCTGATCTTGCCTACCGCGCTCCTTGCAAGGTTCTTCTTAAAATTGTCGCAAGGCAAAATCGTTGGGTTTGGTTGTTGATCTATTTTGATTCCTACTTAATTATCCCTTTGCGCACTTTGAGCTTCTGAATCATCAGGA